CATTAAGCAAACAAAACACCAACCAACTTGTACAAAATTTACAGCACAATTAACAGTTAGAGTAACACTAATGCCAGCAGGATCTACTGGAATTCTTTATTACTAAACAGCAACTTCATATTTCAAAAAGCCCTGAAAAGAAAATTCCAATAGGACTATTTGCTCATGCTTACATGAAATTAATTAATATTCCAGAGGCAGATGACATCGAGAGATATTGTTATTCCCTCTCTTTCATTGTGATTCAGTTCATGTTCTAACCCAAGAACAGGCTCCTTGAAAATAGCAAAACTTATTCTTGATTTTTACCAAGTTAAAGGTAAAAGGATTGCTCATGTAAGAGCTTTTTCAGGTAATTAATTAAAGGGACAACAGTGGTAAACACTGAATTATTTAAGAACTAACTTAAACCTCCAGTCAAACTCTGAATATGAAAAGAGCATGATGGTTCCTACTATTTTGCAACCAAGTAGCATCTTATTGATTCTTGGTCCCTATGTGCTTGTACATTTTATGGCTAACCATGCAGACATCAGTAATTTAGCTGGTCCCACTGTTTAACTGTTGTATTACCTTACATGTCTAACAAAATCTTTTTGCTCACTAAGGTTTAACAACTAAAGATCACCTTACCCATAATAGCATTCTCATCTAATTTCCTTAAGCTTTAAGTCCATGGTGCTGGCTTTAAAAGCCCCAGGTTACTCATGGCTACTACAATTCTGCTCCCCTTTGCCCTTTCATGAACACAATTGTCCTACCAGTAATAAGGACAGGCTTCTGGCATTATTTCCCCATCCTCTGAAAACAGCCCATATCATTTGGTGTCATCAAAGATACGCTTGCTAGCATTTTACATGCTGATACCATGAGCTCTGTTCATCTTGATATGGCAAAGATAAGACTTTCTCCTCTGTTACACCGCTACACTCTGTATGTGGTTAGATCAGGGTGCATAAAATGTAAATGTCTGGAGTAATGTTTCCCCAGGTATTTTGATCCTGGAGTAGAGTTGACAAAGGCATGACACTACTGTATGCACTATTGCAAAATTGTGCTGAAGTAGAGTATTTTCTTTAAGTAAAGGTAGCCTTACTTCTTATTTCTATGAGACTGTAAATCTTTCTGTTTCTATCTTATGTAATCTTTATGTTTCTATGACCCATCAAAAAAGATTCAAACCCCAAATAAGCCTACCTGAAATGCATTAAAATTAGAAAAATATGAGATGCCATCTTAGTAGAGATTGATAAAGAAACACTAATGCTCCAAAGTTCACTAATGCCGCACTTTACAGGAACACAAATTATTAATTCCATGGTTTTTAGCATCACTGTGGACCAGATGTCTTTTTCAGATCTCTGTTGTGATGGGAGGCTCTGGGGACCTCATGAGAAAAATGGAACAAACCTTAGTACATCTATTTGAGATTATTATCAATCTTATATCTGCCTCTATTACCTTAAGAATCTTCTAGGATTAATTATGCTACCTATTCTGCGGGATATTTTTTTACCGTATGAGTCACAAATTTTATTATCACAGTTCTTCACTAAAAACTCTTTGTTTTATGTAATAGTTCAGAATACAAAGATAGTTTTTCCAGCTGTGCTGTCCATTTAATTTACATGTACTACTGTCACGCATAGACAATTCAACTCTCACATTTCATTGGAATTGTAATCTCTTCACTAATAGAAAAGCTCCACCTGATTTCCTTTATTGTTTTTATTGATGAAAAGTCTGACCTTCAGACTGCAGTTTCAATCTTTGCTTCCAATGTTTCCCACTTTGTGACTGTTCATTTCACCACTGCAGAAAACCCAGAGGCATACCTCAGCTCTTTCTTCTCAGCCCTGGAAAGGCTGTAATAGTCTGGCTTCAACAGATGGTCTACCATCAATGCACTCAACTGTTTAATAGTTGAATTAGGGCTCCATGATACCTTTCATATATGGGCTCATTCTGTTCCTCTTCTCACATCTTTTTTGATCCTACTCCCATTATTTCATGCATTGTAGTACCACCAAAATAACTTTTCGGAGCAAACTCTTAAGCTAGAAAAAGCTCTTGATTCATGGTGTGGTGCTCTCATTGAGCCCTGCCAAAGGCCAGCCACAAACAGCACATCAGCTGAGGAGACCAGGACCCTCTGTAAATAGATTTCATTCAGCTGGCTTCGATCGTTGCTTTAAATCCACAGACTTCTTTCACTTCTGCATTTTCCCATTAGGACATAACTATTCACTGACCGAGAAACATTATGTGAATAAAGCTATGTTCCAAATTTTCTCCATTACAATCTATGTTAAGGAAATTACATCCTTTCTTGTGCCTCTCTTCCTAAAACCGTTCAATACTTTTCTTCACTAAATGACAACATGTATCATTGCTAGGTAAGGATGTTGGATGACAATTGACAAAACTGTGCTATACTACATATCCTTTACCTTTTCATCTAAATATAGATTATATGAGGTTAATAGAGGCTAACGCTGGAGAAAGTGTCAAAATGTGCAATCCACATGTCTTCAGTTTATCACAGAATCATAAAAGGATGACAAACACCTCAAAGATCAAGTCCGACCTTTGATCAACCCCCATCTTGTCAACTAGACCACAGCACTAAGTGCCACACCCAGTTATTATGTTCCGTATTGCATCTATTCATATTGTTTATAATAGTGTCAAGAGGCTTTTCCAGAAGAAGAAAATCAAACAAAAGATTTTCAAAGCAATTCATTAATTTAAATCCACAAAAATATTTTCTATTAGTTCTACATCTTTCATTGTGCATTCACACAATGAAATCAAACAGTGTCCATGAAAATAATTCAGAAATACCAAATTTCATAATTTCCTCCATTATATGCAGGCTATTTACATAACAAATTGCCACTCAATCAGAATTCCATCCTTTAAAATTTTGTAAAGGAGCAAATTAGTGATTCATGTCTGAAGCAACACAGACCAGGTTAATTCCATGTACATGTAAAAGGGAGAGCTTTCTCAGCATTAAGTGAATTACCATTGAATTATTTGGATAGTAAACAAACCTCAGTGTTTTCATGTTCCCAAATACCCACATTGACTAATCTGCAGCAAATATTGGCACTAAATATCATTCCACTCATAAATATAATAGTGTGTGGTCCTTTCAAATTCTCACAGCAATGCAACGTGCCTAATTTAATATTAAACCTTTTGTTTTAAAAGAACTAGCTCATATAGAGTAATTAAATTGCCAGTTTGCTTTAATAACCATTAAATGTTACACACACTGAGGACAAAGTGGTCTTTATGCTGTGAATACATGTCCATTTATTGACAATTCTGCCACACAAGAATTCCCAAAACCAGGTTCAGTGAAGCAGACACAAAGTGGATCATACAAACACTTCTTGCCAGATCTAGGTATTAGACCATCTGCTTCTCTTTAGGCACAGAATCATAAACAGGGTTGGGTACCTTGCACAACCCTCACTAAAGCTTCTCAATGTTGAAGTGATATGTAACAGTGGTTCAGAAAATTAGAAATTCTTAATCGGCAGAAGCACAGATTGGAGACAAGCACAGATTGGAGACAAGACCTAAACGGCATAATAAATAAATTATAGTTTTGATTTTCTGCTGTGTTCTGCCTTAGAGTCTCTAACTGTTTTGGCCAAAGTAGTGTGGACTGCCTGCCAGAGGTGCAGATGGGGTATCTAGAAACTGGGTGTAACACCACAGTGTATGGTGGTACATGCATGCAAACTTGTGCATTTGTGTGTTAATCATTCCACTTCTGTACATAGAGAACGAGCATGGACTGATGCAGATGCGAACACTTTCTGTTCCTTTTATATTTTTGCTTATTCTGTGTGCAGCACTTGTTTGAATGGTGGGTCTTAATACTCATGGGAACAGAGATTTGGGCCCTGATCATTTTTATACTAATCCCCAGCATACACTGCTCAGCATAGCTGCTGGTGCTCTCTAAGGGTTAAGCAGTTCAGCTGCATCAACAGAGGATTGAACGTAGTTTTCTGTGTACATTCCTAGTCTTGCTCTCAACAGGAACTTCAGACCTAAATACAGTTTTCCAGATGGCAGAAGTATTCCTATATGACGCTCAATTTGTACAGCGTTCAAACTCTTTCACCAGTAAGTTTTACTTCTCATAAATGATTTGTTAAGTAAAACCTGACAAATCCTTCACAGAGATCATTCATCATCCAATAATTTTAAAAAGCTTGACTCTGTTATTACCACACCAGGGGCCTGGGGGCTTGTTGGCAAGACTGCTTTGCATGAACAGCATATAAAAAGCTAATGGGATCTTCACCAAACTTTTTTTCTAAAAGAAAACCAGAGGCAATCTAATTCTGCAGTCAATGAATAAGCTACTAATCATTGAAATTAAAGGATTCAAACAAAAGTGTGTCGTGGATAGGATACAAGAGGATATTATACTTAACTATAAACCAGTAATTAAACTGTGTTGACAGTTACCTATTACACTGTGTGCCAGAAAGAAATGGCACCATTTTTCACACAGATCTTAAAATTAAGATCAGTGAAACGACCAAAAAGGACTACAGAAAAGAGTACCAAGTCCAGAAGAAGACAAGAAGAAAAGCAAGAGAAATTTTCCTCTGAATATTGTACCATCCCACATTGTCCATTTTTATTTTTAAAGCTGATTGTTTCACAGAGGGGATCTGCAGACATAAATCTTACATGTGTGGTTTTGCAGAGAAGCACCGCACAGTACTTAGTGCATTATCAAAATTCAAGTACTCATTCAGGAATAATGATGGACCTTATGTTCCAAGAATAGCACATACTTAATAGCATGGTATCTTCTTCACTTGTTTTAATGAGAAGTAGAACCTCAGAAAACAGATAGGGTAATTCTTGTAATACTATATGCCATTCAGGTGAATGTCCTGTGGTATAGTATTTCATATAAAAAATGCAAAGGCTTTTTCCTCAGATACATGCATGGATTTTCTTACCTTTGGTTCCATTGAAATGAAGCTGTGGGTACCTCTACTTGAGAGAACTGACCTTTTAATTGTTTTACTATGGTAGAAGTGGTAGTAGTCCTTCAATGTTCCAATCTGTAAGAGCAGAGAAGAAAAAAAAAGGAGGGGAAGACTTAATTTAATGAACTTGGTTTCCTGTTTTTCATTTTGGAAAGTCTATAAATTATGCAACTTCCTCTGTGCTGAAATGTTACGTGAACCCACTGATCATCTTTCAAAAGAAGGACATATGATATGAAGTAGATGAAGTATCCTTGAGGCAGTAACTGCATAACCAAAGATTATAACTGAGCCGCTTAGTCTGGCTGTATCTACCTTTTTAATATTTAATTTATATGCAGTACTTTAGGTAATTCTATATCAATCTATATCCAAACTGTCCTCAAATGGCAAGTATAGAAATCACTAACGGCTATAAGGTTATTAAAAAGCATTCCATCTAATTTGCCAAGGAAATTTACTGTAAAACACACTAGACTTGGTAATTTATATAATTAAATTATAAAAAGGACATTCACAGTATCAGACTATACAACAGGAAGAGTTTTCCTGTTCTGTCAAATGAGAGCAAAAAGCAGAAGAAAGAAAGATGGAAATGGTAACTTCATAGGATAATAACTCATTTGAGGTACAAAACCAATTCATGCAAAATTGCAAAATTCACAATGGCGTAATAAAAATGCTTCTAACTCATCCCTTCAGCACACAATAGAAATATAAATACTGAAGTGAGATGGCCTTCCCAATTTGAAAAAAATTTCCTTTCCAGAGTCATCGATACGTCTGCTTTCATTTTTCATTTTTAACTTGAAACTTCGTTTTCACTCACCTACAAACTAACACTCAGTCTCCTTGTCTTTGGGAGAATGCCTCTACAACTCATTTGGAATTTGACCTACTAGTGCACTGCAAATTTTGTAAGATACTTAATAATTTAATTTAAAGTTCCTCAATGATGAGCAAAAAAGGGACAATTGAGCCTACTCTCATTTCAAGTTAAAACTCAGAGTGACCTCATGAAACAGGCTTGATTTTCCAAATAGAGTTGAATGATACCACCAAAGAGGATGGAGCAACACTTGAAAACTTTCACCTTAAAAAATCCCTCCGATTTCTTAATTTGCATCTATAAGAATACACATGCAGGAAAATTGAGAGCTCAGTAGTAAAGACTTTAAAAGAACTGGAAATAAGTCACTTACAAATTCCAAGAATATTTAGAATATTAGAAAACAAAAATCTTGAGAAAATATATAAGTGGACTAAAAAGAAAATATTGATAGAAAACAGCAACAATTTAGATGAATTTGCCTAACAAGGAAAACCGGATCTAGGATATTAATGCTGGTCTGTGTGGGTGGTCCATCAATATCTTCATTTTGGGAGAAGTAACTCATGTCTAGTATGAAAAATACCAAAAGAAATATACCAAAACATTCAGTTAAATCAATTTAGTTTATCATAAATTAAATAGGAATTGGTTTTTCTAAGACTAATGAAAGTACATCAGCAGTAGAGTAATTTTCATGCTGCCTTCTCTCTGAAAGGCAATTCCAGCTGAAGTAGTACATCTCCACAGCACAATTGTAGTGACTGGGTTACATCTGGCTGATGGCCAGTCAACAGAGCTGTTCCTCAGGGCTCAGTCCCAGGACCAGCTCTGTTCAATATATTTAACAACAATCTGAATATAGGATTTCAGTGCTCCATTAACATGTTTGCTGATGATACCAAACTGGGATGTGCTGTTGACCCTCTTGAGAGACCAAAGGCCTTGCAGAGGCATCTGGATAGATCAGAGCATCAGGCTATGATTAATGGGATGAAATTTAAAAAGTTGAAATGCTGAATTCTGCACTGGAGATCAAGTAACACCAGGCACAAGAGTAAAATGGGAGTGAAGAGGCTGGAGAACAGCCCTGCAGAAAGCAACCTGTGGGAGCTGGCTAACATTAAGCTAAGTGTGACTCAGCCATGTATCTGGGCAGCCATGAGGCCAAACTGCATCCTGGAGAACCTCAGATACTGCATAACCAGCCAAAGGAGGTGGTTATCTCATCCTCATTTAGAATACCCTGTGTAGGTCTGGGCCCCACAATTTAAGAAGGATGTGAAGGTCCTTGAATGCTTCCAGAAGAGGCCAACAAAGCTGGGGAATACCCTGGAAGGCATGGCTTGTGAAGTGGGGCTGAGCACTTTGGCTTGGAGAATAGTAGGCTGAGGGTTAAGTTCATTGTTCTCTACAGCTTCCTGAGGAGGGGACAAGGAGATGGAGGTGGTGATCTCTTCCTGCTCAGATTCTGGGATGTGTCAGATCAGTTCGGAATGGCATCAAAGGAGGTTCACACTGAACTTTAGGATGTGTTTCTTTACCAAGAGGATAATCAAACAGGCTTCCTGTGGAGGTCTATGAATGCTCCAAGCCTGTTAGTTTTTATGAGGCATTTGGACAATGCTCTTAATAATGTGCTGTAACTGCTGGTCAGCCCTGAATTTGTCAACTAGATGACCATTGTAGGTCTCTTCCAATTCCATTCTTTCCTATTCTCTTCTACTCTGTTCCACTCCTTTACTTTTGACTACACGAACTAAAGTTTATTCTAATTTTAAGAGCCTGTAGCATAAGCCAGTAACATCAGGTTACTGCTGCACTCTTTTTACATTACTATTATTTATAACAATCACAGAAATTTGGTGCCAGGCTTAGCACAAGTGCAAGTGATGGCATGCTTCTCTGAGACAGAGGGTTGTAATCCGTTACTTTCTGGATATTTCCTGGATTCATCAGTAGCCTCAAATAAGATTGAACTTCTAGCTGCTGGGAAGTGATTTAGTCTTGCTTCGTAAGTCTTCAGAGACCTGTAAAGGGCATACTCACCCTACCAGTAACCTATAAAGGTAACTGAGCTATGTGTGCTATGAAGCACATAACTGAAAAGACTCAGCTCAGACAGATAAATGGATTTACAACTGGTTTACAACTCCACAGAACTGTTTAAATAGAAAGACCATATTACAGGGAAAATAAGCATCCATCCTGTTTTGTCCTACAAAGGTCTCAATGTCACCCAGTCCTCAGTGTTTTGTCTTGCACTAACTTAAGGTGTTTATTTATTTAGTTATTTACTAAAGATCAACTCTAACTGACCACTCTGAGGGCATCCAAACCAGCAAATTTAGGAGATTACCTAATTGCACTCCTGGAGGTTCTACAGTTTAGCAGAACTAGCCATCCATGGAAGACACTGGAGGCATCTGCATGTTTCCAGCTGAAGAGGAAAGGCACGAGGCTTTGTAATCCTGGTCAGATCTACTTCCTCTGAGAACTTGGGCTGAGGAGACAGAATTAAGCCTTTGGAATTATGTATAGTAATTGCAATGCAATGTCTTCTAAACACTTTTAGTTTTCAGACAATAATAGTGATAATTTAGAATTGTGAGATCTACAGCTTTAGTTCATAACTGGCAAGGAATTAAAAGGACCCCAAATCTTTTAAGTGTAAGTAAATTCATATTCACTTAGACCTTCCAGTTCCTTGGACCACTAGGAAGAAGAATTAAACCATGTAACTATAGCACAATGAAACTTCTCATTGTGTATGTTCTTGTTAAATTGTTTGTTATACTTCGAACTCCCAGGTCTTATAGGCACTGTCAGAGAAAAACAGTGCAAAGACAGAAACACCAGAGCTAACTACTCTACTACTGCTAGAGACTGCAGGCAGTTTCAGTCATATATCATTGGGAAATCTTTGTAATCTCCTTTTCTTTACACAGAGGGCATGATTTCTTTAAAAATAAATAGGGAAATATTGCCTGGCCAAAGGAAAAGGAATGGACAGTGGGTGTAGGGAAGACCTAATCTCTTTAGAAGTAGTATTTGTAGATAAACATTTTAAACAGATCTATATACACATTTTAGATGTACTTATACTATGTTTATTCAAGGATGAAATAATTCCCAGGAATATTTTCAGTTCCCCAGAACTAACAATCCTACAATATCAAAGCAGTGTCCCTGAAAACCAAAGCATCCACATATTTACTTTAAATTTATATTTATCAGGTCTTATTTTCTATTTTAAGTTGAGAAAATGTGTTAAAGATAACATGAAACAAGAACCAAACTTTCTAAGCTTGCTCTTGAAAAATATTTCTTCCACGTGTTGTTTTAGTCTAGGGCAAGAGTAAGATAATTTAAGACATAATAACTGAATTAATTCATCTACATGTGCACTGTGTCCCCAAGAACTCTGTAAGGAAACACAAATGCTAAAGATGACTGTTAGACATACTTTAAATATATTTATATGGTTACCAAACTTACCTAACTAACTAAGCTCTGAACCTAAACTGTCTGAAACTTCTGTGTAGCTGAACAGGAGTAGGGAAGTCATTCCAGCTACTGGGCAGAAACCTAAGAGATGCTTTTTAGCTTATAAACAATTTTTTGTTTTTTTTAAGAGGCAAATCCTCTAAACATCTAGGTGCAAAGTGCTCTTCTCCCAGAGGGCTGAATTGAAAACAATGTGCTACTGATTTGGTGAATTGCAGGATATATTGGTAAGGGCCTCTGTTTCTTCCAGGCTTTCATGAATTTGCTCCTAAATAAACTTGAAAAGAAAGACAGAGCAGGTACAGACATGATTCTGAACTCAGTAAGACACTAGAAGAGCCAAAGAAACACAAATCTGCTACCCGTTTGCAGAGCTGGAATATAAAGCGCTATAAATAGGCACAGGATCATATTTCACATGGAGGTGAAGGTATGACCCTTCCCATTTTTCAGAACTGTGAAAAATTTCCAAAGTTTTAAAGTCCTTGGCAGAAAAAAATATCGAAAACTGAAAGATGAAGAATGTTTATTAAGTTTACTATTATCATCCCATTTTAACAAAATCAACTCTGTTTCAAACGTTTACATTTTTTCAGATTGAAGAATTTTTGTCTCTGAAATATCATTTCTAGTGGAGTCTGTATAATGTGACAACATTTTAAACATTTTCATAGTGTCCCAGTTAAAGAGAAAGGCGGTGGAGTTTTTAGCATTGTTTATTTGATACCACCCATATTCA